TTACCTTCTTTTTACCCATATTTTCTCAATCATTCTCTTCTTTCCGCCTTCATAAAATAACTTTTCTTTTTTTCACCGGTACACCACAATTTCACAGTTCACGCAAAGAAAAACATCTTTTTTTCTCTCTTCTTTGCCTCCGAGCCAACCCTCTTTCCCACCACAACCCGACGAACCGCGGCACTGCCGCCTCGCTTGATCCGCCTGTGACCCTGCGCATCAACCCTCAAGCGTCCCGGGCCTTCCCTCGCGGACAACCCCTCCGCTGTCCGATCCGCGTCCAGGCTGCGCCTCCCCGCGCCGTTCACCGTCTGGCTACCGCCGCTCTGCCCGTCGAATACCGCCGCAGCAAGCACAACTCCAAGCCTCCAGGCCAGCAGCAGCCGACACGACGACCTACCGACGCCGAGCTCCATCCCGATCGTGTCTCCCCCCCGGTGCGAAAGACCCCACCCAACTGCTCGATCGCCGCCCAGACGACTCGTTCTAGCAAGATCCGCTCACCTATTTACATTTATAGATATTTATTTATTATATATGTTGTTTAGATATATATTTATGTGTGGATGATTGCTATGAATTTTTAAGTATTATATGTGGTTAGTTACTTGTGAATAATGAATATAAACTGGACAGCTTGTTTTTTGAGGCTAGATATTTGTAGAGTTGTTATCGAAAAGTATTAGAATAATCAAACATAAAAAAATAAAATGTTACATATAGAACTTGTTCATTATAATATAGTATAATAATATATATATTTGAAGGTTTTTTTATAATTGATGAGAACTATTAAGGATTTTTTTGAAATTAATAAATTTATAGCATGATGATCTGGATTTCGATATTTATGTATATTTATTATAGATGTCGTTTCTCTTGTAATTTATTAGTAGTTGTTCACATTTTGTCATGATCCACGACACTGTTATTAGTATTTTTGCATTTTCATTCTTATTTAATGCGGATTTTAGGGTTTATGAATTATGTTATCTGTGTGATATTGAATAAGATTTAGAGGTTGTTGTTTTAGGCCCTTAGAAATAAGAAGACCGGGTATGGGAACTTTTATCTACAGTGATTAACTGACTGTATATGTTATCCTCTAAG